TAATCCTCACCTGAGGAGTGAGGATATCTTTTCCATTTATAGAAAGTGGAAGGGAGGGGGAAAAGGGGAACAGAGAGAGAGAGAGAGACATCTAATGGTTGCCTCCCGCATGAGCCCTGACTGGGGGTAGGGATCGAACCTGCAGCCCAGGTACATGCCCTTGACTGGGAATTAAACCCTCCAGTACATGTTCTAACTGCTGAGCCACACACACCAGCCAGGGCTGAAGCACAAATTTTTAAAATGTTGATGATATCCAATTTATGAGTTTTATCCTCCCCTGCTTTTGCAGGTGTCAAACCATTGCCTAATCTGAGATCATTACATTTAGGCCCATGTTTTCTTCTAAAGGTTTAGAGTTTTAGCTCTTAAATTTAGGCCAATGATCCATGTTGAGGTCATTTTTGTATATAGTGTGAGGAAGGGGTCCAACTTCATGCTTTTGCAGGTGCATATCCAGCTGCCACAGCACCATGTGCTGAGGAAATGGCTCAGTGTCTCTGAGCCTCAGTCACCCGGTCTCTAAAAAGAGCCTTAAAAGACTGCCTTGCAGGGTGCTATGATCATTCAATGAGATAGAAGAAAGTACCCCGTGGGGTCGGGGGACATCTAGCCCACAGCACACGGTCAATGCCTATAACTGAAGGAATGGACAACGGATTTGAAAGTTCTCTGAAACACTGGTCATCACTGCTACCCTGTGACCACAGCTCTTCCTTCCCTGATGATCTTAAACAGGCACAGCCCCATCTGTTTGTCACAGGAGCCCTGGGCTGCTTCTCAAGAACCCCGCTGCTGGGTGGCTCCAATAATCTTTTTCTTCTCCCCCTCCCTTTTCTCTCCCTTACTTTCTACCTTAATTGTGCATTAAACAGTCTTGGTCTTAGCTATTTAATCAATTTATAATTGTTAACCCACTCAAATCTGTTTTGGCAAGGTGGTGGGAGGGCATCAATGAATGGATGAGTCAGTCGATGAAAAGGTCCCTGATTTAAAGTGAGATGAGTGAAGCCCCTACAATGATCCCACAGGCCACCCCACGTGTGGGTGTCAGAGGAGGCCAGGGGATGCCACTTTCAGCTCTCTCTGAGCTCTCCCACTCCCCTGCCCACTCTGGAGAGAGCCTTTCACATTGCATCTCCCTCCTCCATGGTGTTTGCAACACCTCCCAATTTAGTTTTCTCTCTGAATTTCATTAGTGTCCCATTTGCCTCGTCTTCCTGATCTCTGAGGAAGCAGGAGGAGCTTGACTTGGCAACAAGGACTCCTGCTTCCTGACTCGGGATGAGGGGGACAGGCAGATTTGGGGCCCCTGGGCTGCAGTTCCAGATAACGCTCTGGTCCATGAGGCTCAGGCTAGCACACCGCAGCTGGACCCCAGCTGTGCACCAGACACTGGGCTCAGCAGTGAGGAGCTGTGCTTGCCCTTGAACCCTTAGCCCCACAGGGATGGATGGGTAATGCCTGTGCCATGTGCTGCAGGGACTTCACCCCCCAGGCAGGTGGAGTGAGTGAGAAAGAATGAGGGTGTTGAGTTGGTGCACAGAGAAAGTCTGTGGGACATTCAGGAAGAGGGAACAGCGCGTGTAAAGGCAGGATGGTAGGAACAAGAGAGTGTAAGCGAGTAACACCAAGGAATCTGATGCGCCATGATTGGTTCATGCGTTCATTCACTCGGTGCATAGTTACTGAGTGCCCACAATGCGCAGGCAGTGTTCCAGGCATAAGAACACTGCCATGAACAACACAAAGTATGTCCCTGCCCTGCTGGCGCTCAGGTTCCAGTGGGAGAAGACAAACAACAGGCAGCCAAACTTGCAGTGTCATATATAATGCCTCAGGTGGAGATGAATGGGATGTAGAAAGGGTCAAGTGGAAGAGGGCAGAGGAGGGGCTGGGCTGGGAGACTGCTCCTGGTGCAGGGTGGTCAGAGCGCTGCCTGTGCTCCACTCCACTGCGTCCACCTGGCTCACACCTCTGGCCTCCAGCGGCTCCCTTAGAGGAACACACTCCTGGTCACTGACCAGGCCCTTGCAGCCTAGGGGTGCTCCGCTCACCTGGATGGAGACTTGGAGGTCTGGTTGCTGTTGTTCCCGCTGCCTGAAGAGCTTCCCTGAGACTGGAAACAAGGCTTCTATGCCTTATGCCCTGAGGCGGGAGTGTGTTTACGGTTCAAGGAAGAGCAAAGAGGCCAATGTCCCTGTTGGGTCACTGTGAGGCCTCTGGCTTTTCCTCTGTGTGAGCCTCTGAGCCACAGGAGGGTTCAGAGCAGAGGGGTGGTCTGATGTGACCAGTGTTTTAACAGGTACCTCAATGTCAGACCCTGGGAGAGAAGGGTGGCAGCAGAGCCCCATGCAGATGCCACTGTGATAATCCAGGTTTGAGAAGGTGCTTGGACCAGAGTGGGGACAGGGGAGGTGGTCACATGTGCTGAGGAGGGGAGAGAAGTGATGGGGTCAGTGTCAATACAGCACAGAGTGCGAGGGGAGGGATGGGGATGCTGGAGAGAAAATGAACCACATTCTACATAGAAGAATCCACCTTTGCCAAGGCTCAGATTCAAACCCGTCCTGTCAGAGTCAGACACCGCTCCCTGTATTTCTGCAATGTCCTCCCTCCCTCTTTGAGTTGGACAAGGTCTCAGCTATATGGGCAGCACCAACATGGGGATGAGGGATGCTGTGTCTGGACTCAAAGAAGCCCCCACTGTCAGTGAATGATATGTTCACATGTTGTGACACTTGCAGGACCAGAGGGAGAAAGTCCTGAGAAGAGTGATTCAGAGCAGAAAGAGGAGACCATGTTTCTTAGGGTTAGATGGGAGGGCAGGGGAGGAGGAGGGCGAAATTCAAGTTTTTTATTTTAACTTTCTCAACATCACAAGTGAGCATGGATGAGGTTGAAGAGTCTCCTTCAGCCCCGTTATCTTCCCTCTATGAGTGAACCTTGGCTTGCTTATCTGAAAAATGGAATTATAAGAATTGCCTCATGGGCTTGTGGAAGTTATAAATAAATCAAGTACTTGGCACAGTGCTTCAATACACGGGAGTCCATTTTACCTGTCTCTCTATAGGAAAAGTTAAATATCTTTTTTTTAAATATTTCAGAGAGGAAGACAAAGGGAAAGAGAGAGAAACATCAATGATGAGAGAGAATCATTGATAGGCTGCCTCTTTTACACCCCTCACTGGGGATCAAGCCCACAACCCCAGCATGTGCCCTGACCAGGAATTGAACCATGACCTCCTGATTCTTAGGCTGATGCTCAAACACTGAGCCATGCTGACCAGGCTAAAAATCTTAATAGATCTCTTCAGAGAACCATATGTCTCTACTGCTGAGCATACATCCCAGTCTGTAGTTACACATTCCTTGGGCTGAGAACAGAGGGTACTTTTGTTTTGTTTTGTTTTCCCTAATATTTTTATTGATTTTTAGAGAGAGAGAGGAAGGGAGGGGGAGAGAAGAGAGAAACATTGATGTAAGAGGGACACATCGATTAGCTGCCTCCTGTACTCCCCAACCTGGAGATCGAGCCCACAACCTGCCATGTGCCCTGACCAAGAATTAAACCGACAACCTGGTGCACAGGACTACACCCAACCAACGGAGCCACATGGGCCAGGACTACCTTCAGTTTTGTTCCCTGTTATGTCCCCAGAGCCTATCACAGTGTTGGGCCTGTCATTTTTATTCAATATGTTTTTGCTGAATAAGCTAAATAAATGATTGAGTCAGTTATGTAATGTCTAGACTCCAGAGCTTTTTAGCTGGGAGACCTCAGATAAGATGGTTCCTTTCTCTGAGCCTCAGTTTCCTTACCTGAAAAATGGAAATTATACCCACTGTGGCAAAGGCAGGTATTATTCACCAAATAGCCATGTCTTCCCCACATTTCCCAGAGCCCTAAAAAACTAGGGCATTAGGCTAGTTCCGGCCCGTGGGCTGTGCGTCCCTTTGGGACTGAAGTATTTAAGAGCCAGTGCAGCCTTCCAGCTGTCTCGTCCCTGCTGCAGGGACCAAGGTGGCCTCACGTTCCAGGTAGTACACCTACAAGATGGCCAAGCCTTCGTCAGCCTGCTCCTGAGGCGCGAGGTAGAGCAGAGCCCTCCACCCACCTCAGTTAGACATGCAGCACCAGCAAGAAAGAAACCTTTGCTGTGTTAAGCCGCTGGAATTCTGGAGTGAATTTATTACTGCAGAATAACCGGGCCTAGCAAGACTCACACATCTCCCTTGCAGATAGCTTGGAGGAAAAGAAAAAGGGCTGGGCTCACAGTAGGTTTTCAATAAAGAGCTTACTCCCTGGGCCCTGGCTCCTTTGCTTCCTCAGCCTTCTCCCCAGGGCCCAGCCTCTAGTTACGATCCTGCCTTTCTCTGTGCCATGTTCCTTCTCTAGCTTGAAACATCCTTCTACTTTCCCACCCAACCAGGTGCTTCCTACTGTTTCTGCCATCGATCTTCTGCGTGGCAATATAAAGAAAGGCCTCCAGGGAGCTGCTCTGGCCGCTGGACCCAGCCCCCAGACCACCTGTCCTCCAGGCAGCCTCCCCTCAGCTTCCCACTCCCCCGCCCCGCTATTTTCAACTATGCCTCTCACTCCACTCCAGCTTGGAATGCAACCATCGACCTCTGGACCCCAGAATGACTGATCGCCACCGCTGCCTATGTGGTCCTGAGCTTGCCAGGTGCCTCCTGGCTGCTAGCTCCCCCATCTCATTCCAGCTGGATGCCAGGCCCTTGCCTGCTCTGTCCTCCAATCATGCTGGTTGCCGGCTGCTGGTTGGGTTCCAGCACCCACGAGTCCGCCTACTGCTTTCTGCTCCACAAGGAGGCCACCTTCACTCTGGCCGGACCGCCTCCACTTCCCATGCTACTTAGTGGCAAAAGCCTTCACCCAAAAAGCAATCATGATTTCGCATTCCAAGAGGGATTTTTTCATCAAGACCATGGGTTTTCAGCTGATGACACAGAAAATCAGAGCGGACAAGGGGACTGACCTGGCTCCATGTCCGCATATCCTGAAGAGTCAGCAGTGTCCGTGGGCCATCGGATCCTGGAGGACGGGGCTCGATCCTTTCTGTTGAAGCAGAGAACACAGGCCCAACTGAATGAGGTGGCAAGATGCCCCTGACCTTCCTCACAGATCTTTCCCCAGCAGCCACTACAAACACACAGCATGGGGAGCTGGGCTTGTTCCTGGTCCCCCAGCCACACAGAGAAGTGGGGTCCCAATTCCCTGAGTACCCCACACAGACTTCCTCTCTGCAGCCTTCCCGGGAGGCTCTGGTGAGTCTTCCTCAGGGTGGGAGTGAGGGTGCTGTCTGATGGCTACTGTTCACAGGTGATTCCTCGAGCTGCCCAAACCTCTCAAGGAATGGACTGCAAGTTACAACCCAGGTGCCCAGCTAGGGCTTGGAGCAGAATAGAAACAGTGTTTTGCAAAGGACTGACTGTGATGTGATGAGTGTTGGGACAAAGGTGAGGGGATGGAGCTTAAGGCTGATGCTCTGGCCCCTGCAACAGTCCTGTCATTGATTCACTGAATTTCTTGGAGCCTTCCTTCCCTGTCCAATAAAATGGGCTGAGCATCCCTGTGGTACTCCATGCAGGAGTGTTGGGAGTCCCCTGGGCAGAGTTCCTTACACAGAAGAGTTCTGGTTCTGGCCCTCTTGCTTATCGCATTGCAACCTCTAGCAAATTGGTTCCCCTCTTTGAGCCTCTGTTTCCTCATCTGAAAGAGGAAATTTTTGAACCAGGTGGCCTGTGAAGTCCTTTCTGCCCCTAGAATTTTATGACATTGAATTTGACTTATCTCTGATCTCCAGTGCCAAAGGAGATAGCTGTACATGATAACAGCTTGCGAAATGAATTAAAAACAAATCTATCCCACTCAAAGAAGGGTGAGGGGAGGCTCAAAGGTTTTAAGTCATGTGCTTTGGTCACCACAGGAGGAGGAACTGGGATGTGAACACAAGTCCTCACAGATTCATGATCTGGGCACTTTGCTCTGCACCAGCGACCACACTCACCCACTGAAAACACCCTCACATGTCTTCTTATATAAAAGACCCACTAGGCGAAAGAACAAGGCGTGGCAGGTGCCTTCAGTCATCTGAGGCAAAAAGTCATTACTTGAGAAATTCTTTAAATACATATTTGCCAAATATACCGAGGATCCTAGCTAGGAGACATTATTATGCATTATAAGGTGAGGCATTACTGGTAATTTCCATTAAAAATGAATTTCTAGCTTGAAATTTTTCTAGCTTCATCTGCATTTCATATATTTCTTTATTGTGAATTCTCGTTATTCTTAACAAAGAGTAACTGCATTGGGCAGGAACGGTCACCAGGCTCTGCTCAAGGGCAGAGCATCCTTCTCCACCTCAGGTCCTGCACACCCCAGGGTAGAAGACTTGACAACCAAAACACTAGCAAAGTCCTTCCGAGTCATACCACGTTCACTAAAATGAAAAGCGGACAGTACACCACAGACGGTAGGACTACCATGTTGTGCATGTTGAATAAGCAATAATGGCTCTTCATTTCTACTTATTGCATCTTGTTCATTACAAGTTTACACTCCGAAGTTTCAGAGATCAACAGGAACTTGCTTTGCTGGAATTATGGGCCTCACCCCAGGTGGACTTTAGGACTCAGAGCTGTTGGCTTTGCCCCCAAGGATCCTGCTGGGGTCCTAGTCCCCTCCAGGGACTTGGATGAAACACTTTGGGTCTTTCTGAAGCCCTCTTCCTTGTCCAGGGGACAATAGTCCACTGTGCCTCCACAGCTCAGGCTGTAGATCCCCGCGCCTTCCCATCCCTTCCCTCCTGAAGAAGTTGCAGAACTGCAGTTTTAATTGTCTTCCACCCTCATCTTTCCCAAGGCTTCAGGGAAAAACCTCAACTCTTTTCTTTTTGCTGATTTCCTTTCAATTCATACCCCTGATTTCCCTCTTTTTCACATGTCCTCCAACAAGCATCAAAATGACTATTCATAAAACCAAAATGCTCATGGGTTGACCAAAGGTTCTAGAAGTATTTATATACTAGCATTTTTTGTTGTTCTTTTTGTTTTGTTTTAATGATACACCACCCAACTGAGCCACACTCATGATTAGCATCAAAGGTAGCAGGAGGCTAGTATGGTCAGGGCCATATAGCATATTTTGTGGAGGGGAAATCCAGTTGGGAGAGGAGCATAGCATTCATTCATTCACTTCCTCATTCATTCATTCATTCATTCATTCATTCAATAGTGCATGTTAGGTGCTGTATAGGATATACTCATGACTCAAGCAAATCCTGCCCTCAGGAAGCTCACAGGCTGACAAGGAAAAAAAAAAGACATGCCCATAAGTAATTATAATGCTTGGCAGTTTTATAAGAGAGATGACATCCCATGAGAAAACAAGAGTGGAGGGATCACCCTGGCTGACCAAGCAGAGAACTCAGCCTTGCACCAGTGTTAGGCAGGTGGCCTGGGGACAGGCAGCATGCTCCACATGAGGGAGTGTAGGTGCAGGAGGGGAAAATGGAAAACATCACACCTGGTAGGTGGGCTGGGCCCCAACAGACAGGGCTCTGGCTGCCAATTTAGAGAAGATGAGCATTATTCAGTCAGTAATGGGGAGCCATTGAGGGCTTGTGGAGATCTGCTGTAGGAAGATGAATGTGGCAAGCCCTGCACAGTATGAACAGTAAGGGGTGGTGCCTGGGATAGGAAGCTCCTAATTGTGTGCCAAGCATCCGGCAGAGTGGCAGCCGATGGTACATACGTGATTTTATTTAACCGTCTAGACAACTGCAGGAAACAAGCATTCGCCTTCCAGCCCTGCAGATGAGGAAAGGAGGCTTGGTGGAGACAAGATCTGCACCCTGTTCTCGCCCTTTGCGGGAGAGCCACAAAGCGTGCTGTGACATTGTGTGACCTCTGTACACCTGACACTCCCAGAACACCTTCCACTCCCAGTGCACCTCTACGCTACCCTTGGGTGGATGGAAATGTGGTCATTTTCTGGACTGCATTTTGAGACGTCCAGCTGGAGGGAGATGCAGGGTGCCTCTGCCTCTGCTAGCTTTCCCCAAAGTGACCACACATCAAGGAGATAAGACAGTGCGTTGAGTTGGGTACCAAACAACACGGACTTGGGTCTTTTGCAGGGAATTTCAAAGCTTAGCAGGAGGCCATCCTCCCTCCCTGCTGGGAGAGCTTCCTTCTGTCTTTCCCTTCTCAGCTAAGACGTGGTGACAGGAGCATGCGACCAGAGAGCCCCAGGGAACACCCTTTGGATGCCAGGAATCTGTTTTTTCATTGACATTCTAGCGTTTCTAGGCTCTGGGCTGACTTCATTCTTTGGGAGGATTGCCCGGAGCACTCAGTGAACTCAAACTGGACTTCACACCTACAGCCAGAGATGATAATCATGAGTGACTCCTGTCAAGACGACAGATTTAAAACTTGGTTTGTTCAAGAAGAAAAACATTCCTCATTCTAAATACGGACGATCACTGTGCTATCCACCTAACAGCAGGGTGCAGAATTTCTCAGAGGTGCCCTGGCACAAGCAGGGGCTGTGGGGCTGGTAGAATGGATCTGAGTCACTGTCCAGCCACTGCCTGTGGGCTTTGGGCAAACCCCTTAGCTCCCTTACACGTCTTCATTATTTAGTGGGAATGATAACAAGGGATTAGAGGGAGTAAGCGCCAGACTCTCACACAGACATCAGAACGTACAATAGTTTCTTTTCATCGTTTTATATTTCCCATTCTGGGCATTGCACTCACAGTGAGGTTACTCTCCTCACTAGGTTACCAATGGGAAGAAATGGATTTTTGGAGGAAAAATTTGCTGAAATGATAGCAAGCTGTTCATATCCATGACCTAATGCTTACTACCAGGGTCATATAAGTCTTTACTGGCATGTCTTTCTCTTCCCCCAGACTGGGAGCTCCTTGAGACAGTGCCCACAGTATCTCCAACTCCCGGCACGTACTCGCCCCTTTCTACCTTCGTCACCTTATTCTGAGGTCCACACAAGACCGCAGTCTGACGTTCTTTAGGGGTTTTCTTTCCCCAGCCTGGTTTAAAGAATGACTTTTAAGCAACACCTCCAAGAGCAGGTCCAATCCCCTGAAAACCATCTCATTACCATGTAATCATTAGGGCAGGATACTTAACCTCGTTATTCTGCAAAAAAGCATTGGTTTCTAATCTAAGCCAATTATTGGTGCCAACATCTCCCCTAATATCTTAATAACGCCAAACCTCCCAGGGCTCCGGACAGGCAGACAGGTTGAGAGATCTGGGGCTTACAAGACATGGAACTGCACACGGCAGAGGAGAAAATGAAGCATCCAAGCCAGATTGGAGTCCTGGCTTATGCAGATGGGACAACATTGCCTAGTGCCGGACTGGACAAATGCTCCTCAAGGTGAACTCCCTTCTCTTCCCCTGACTCCTGAGGAAAACAAAGCCATCAAACTTGTTGCAAGTAAAGAGGGAGAGGAGAGAAGATTCACCACATTCCCGAGTCCATTTAGAATATAGATTTTTTTTTAAGAGCTTTTCTCCCCACAGACTGAAGGAAGCAGGTTATTTCATTTTAATTATGGCAGCTGCAGCTGCTGCTGGTGAACTCAAAGACCAATTTTCCAATTCAAAACACACACACACACACACACACACACACACACACACACACACACACTCATGCACTGAAAGAATCAACGACACACACAGAATGACGCCTGCGTGAGAGAGTACATCCACAAGGTAGAAAAATCTGAATGTCCAGCTGGAGACACTGGGGCGCAGGGGTAACTCCTGCGTGTGCTCACCCACTTCTCCCCACGCCGCACCTCCTCTCTGCTCCCCAACTTTCAAGGCCAGCCCATGAGCCCCATGGTGTCACGGAACATTTCCTGTTGAGCAGCTGCACGCTTTTAGTGCACACCGGGGGAAATAAAGGCAGCAGATGGCTTTAGGTAATCTCCTTAGAACGTTGAACGGGGCATCCTCATTCATAAAGGCCTCAGGAGCATTTTCACAGGTCCTAGCGGGGCGGTGAGCCAGCCC